ATTCCACCTCCGACACTTAGTAGCTATGCAACCCTGACCAAGTCACTTAACTTGTTTGCCTCAGTTTCCTCATCTGTAAAATGAGGGGGTTGGACTCAGATGGCCTCTAAGTTTTTCCAGCATGAAATTCATGATCCTTTGATAAAATGAAAAAGTCCCTAGACCCAAGGAGTTTACATTACATTACAAGGGGACACAAAATGGGAAAAGATAAGTCTATCTAACATTATTTCTTTTTTTCTTTTTGGTGAGGCAATCAGGGTTAAGTGACTTGCCCAGGGTCACACAGCTAGTAAGTGTCAAGTATCTGAGGCCAGATTTGAACTCAGGCCCTTCTGACTCCAAAGCTGGAGCTCTATCCACTTTGCCCTGAGATAAATCTACACAGGATGACTTGAGTTACAGAGCACTAACAACCAAGGAGATCAGGGAAAGCTTTCCATGGGCAGAGCACTAAAGGACGCTAGGGGACTATAAGAGGTGGAGGTGAGGGTGCGCATTCCAGGCGCCGAGGCACAGCCTGGGCAAAGACACAGAGGCAAGAGATGAAGGGTCAAGTTTCCACCCTCTGGGAAGGGAAATTCAATTCAATGAACATTTATTAAGTGGTGCTACACAAAAAAATGAACCAGTCCTTGCCCTCAAGAAGCCAAAAACCACAGCTGCTGCCAGAAAAGCAGGTATGGGTTGTGGGGGAAGGAGGCTATAAAGCAAAGGCAGCTTTGGGTCAATGACCACTCATGCTTCTCCACCAGAGGGCCACAAGCAGGCAGCCCCCCAGGCTTCTGGGCTCACTTCAGAGCAAGGAGGATGGGGGCCTGATACGTATCTCTGCTGTAAGCAGCAGACAGGAAACACTCATCTAAATGGCCACCTCAGCATCAGTGAGTGACCTTCTGCGGTCATACCACAGGCCACAGGATCAGGAGGACATGCCGCCCCAGCTGAACCACACCAGTATCCACGCCATCCTGCCCCACCTACCAGACAAGTGCCCAATGGCCCAGATTGCTCACCCCAAGAAAGTCCCCCCAAAGGCACCGGCGCTTCTGAAAGAAAGCCGATTTCTCTCTTCCAATGGAACGTCCGTAAGTTTTAGAGAGGGGAGGGGAGGTGGGGAAGGTTCCAGCAGCCTGTAGAATTCTGCCTCCCTCTCAACCCCCATCTCAATCCCCCACCCCCGACTCGAAGATGAGCATGCTTCCTCTTTTCAGTCTGTATTTTCTAGAACTGGAAAAACAAAAAGCCAGGGTCATCAGACATCACTCCAGAGGTAGCCACAGCCCAGAGAGGGAAAGAACAGGACATGGCAGCCAGAAGTCCCAGATGTGGCCAAAGCGAACATTGAGGCTAAAACTGTGATTTAAACAGCAAAAGGACTTAACTCGGTTAAGCTTTCTGCCCACGGCCTGCCTGGCATCCAATGCTGATGCATCTCCCAGCCCCTTCCCTCGCCCACCAGGAGAGATGTCTCCCCTTAGAGATTCCGCCTGATTCACACACGGCTCACTGTGGCTCATTATGGTGCCCGGGTCCCAGCAGCCTTTCCTTCTGGAGCTCTCGGACTCCATGGTTAACCAGGGAAAGGGAGCAGACTCCCTTTGACTTTTGTCATGGGACGGTGAGTGACCTGCACAAAGTCACCCTAGCGGCCAGGGCTGCCAGCAGGAGCCTTTCCTTCTCAGCCCAGCCTCCCCCCCCAGCCTCCTTCCATACATCGGGAGGGACGTCGGTCTCCTAGGTCAGGTTCTCCCTTGGTCACCCCCCAAGCATCTACAAACCTAGATGTGCGGGCTGTGTGGCTCACTGGGTGGACTGAGTGCCTGGGATGAGGCCCCTTGAAAAACAGGGTTCAAGTCCTATCTCTGGGATTACTGGCTGTGTGGTTCTGGCCAAGGTGATTAACCTCTCTGCGGTCCAGTCACCTCATCTGTAAAATAGGGATGATGCTTGTGGTAGACCTACATCACAAGGTTAGGGTGTCTGGGTTATTTTTCTCTTTAAAGAGGCAGTACGAACACCTGGAGTCAGGGGGACCTGAGTTCAAATCTGGCCTCAGACACTTCTTTTGTGTGACCCTGGGCAAGTCACTTCACCCTGTGTGCCTCAGTTTCCTCATAATGAACTGGAGAATACAATGGCAAACCACTTCAATATTTCAGTATATTCAGCCCAAGAAAATCCCACACACGGTCACAAAGAGTCAGCTATGACTGAAAAATGACTAACACACACACAATTTACTCCGATGCTTGGCAAACTTTAAAAGCCCTGAGGATTGCTGGAACATAAGCTCCTTGAGGGCAGGGCCTAGTTTGGGTTTTGTCTTTGTATCCCCAAGTACAGCATCATTTGTTGAATGATTCATGTTACTATTATTACAATCAGGACTAAACTTTTATCAATTCTTCTAGGCTCTGACACCAAGAACAGTCAAGAAGCCTGGTATAGTAGGAACGGAACCAATTTTGGAGTCAGGAAACCCAGGGGTCTAGGCCCTGGCTCTGTAACCTTGGGAAAATCACTTAACCTCTCTGGCCTCAGTTTCCTCAGCTTCATCTGTAAAAGGAGGGGACTGGAGTCAGTGGCCTCTGTTCTATCTCTGGGCCTCAGTTTCCTCATCTGTAAAATGAGGTTAGGTGATGTCTGAAGCCCTTTCCATCCCCAGAGCCAGTGAGCGGTGGGCCCTGGCCACTGGCCACTTTACCCTCTAACCAAGGGTTCCATTTCTGCCCTCAGGCGAGGTAGCCCCCAAAGCCTGGGAAAACAACAACTTGCCAGCATGTAAATTACTCCTTTGCAAGCTTAGCCTGCCAAGACTTGCTATCTAATTGCTGTTAATTGCATTGATTACATAGCTCAGAAGTGTCAGCCTCCACCTCCTCAGCCTGGCAAGGGCAAAGGAAAAGTATTTAACAACAACCACCCAAAAAACCCAACCTTCTCCAACAGATACACACATACATACATACATACACACACACATACACACCCCCAGACCTCCTCCCTTCCCCCCCCAAGGAATCCCAAAGACACAGAAGGAAAAAGCCAAATTGAGCACCGGAGCTGGCTGAACGCCTGTCCTCTCAGACCAGAAGAGAAAGTTTGAGATAACAGGCTTTGAAACTTTTTTGGGGGGGAGGGGGGGTGAAGGTAGAACTTAGGAATGGCTCTCGGGGTTCCAGAGCAGGCTGTTATCTTGGTAGGTTTCTAGAATTGGAGCTGAAAGGGACCTTGGAGACCATGTAGTCAAACAACTTCCTCATTGTGCAGAGGACAAGGGTGAGGACCAGAGGAATGAGCTGCTCAGGAATCACACAGGTAGTGCTAAAGGTCTGCCTTAGGTCCATGAAGCCAGTAAGAAGAAGAAAGAGGATTTGAACCCAGGTCCTCTGGCTCTAATTCCAGCCCTCTTTCCACAACAATAGGAGGCGTCCCATCTTCCAAGAGAATCATATTACTTAGAGCTGAAAGAGCCACAAGCCCAACTGTATCCCTTGAGGATGAAACTGAGGCACAGAAACAGTACGTGACCGGTCCAAGTTCCCCCCATTTCACAGCCTGCCCAATCTTATCTGAAACCCAGCTTTGGATGCTTTGGGAGGCCAATCTCAAGCCAGTCAAGCAATGACATCTAAGCTTCTGCCTTTGGCTGGCAGAGGGAAGAAGGGAAATGGGATCCAGGCAGACCCCTGGGCAGAGAAGCAGTGCTCAGACAGATAAAGCCCCTGGAGTTCCCTCCTCAACCAAAAATACAAGATAAACAGATTCAGCAGGCCTGGTCTCCTTGGCCAAGTCCCTCATCCTCACAGAGGCTGGGCTAGCTTGGTTCCCCACCCCCTGGAAGGGTCACACCCTCTCCATAACAGCCAAGAGCCTGGGCCCTCGGAGAAGCCTTATCACCAGCAGCCCTCACCCCAGGAGGAAGCCAGGTGTATGGCGGGTAAGGGATGAGCTGAGCAGCCTTTCTTTGTGAGGCAGCCTCCTGGGAGGGAGGCCAGCCAGGGCTGACAGTTATCACCTGCAGTACTAGGGTACACACTGCACACATGGCCAGGTCGCGCTGGGATCCTTCGGGCTCTAAGTGAAACCAAAGGGGGCGATCCCCTAGTTAGCAGCTAGGTGGAGAAGGGACATGGAGGTGGAAATGGGGAGCTAGGAATGGAACAGAGGTGCAGACTAGCCCATCAAAGATGGGGAGGGGAGGTCACCCAGAAAAGAAGCTACCTCTGGGGCTCCAGCTTCCTCCCCAACCTAGAGGTTTGTTTTCCTCTCCCAGACCTGATCACCTACCCATGACCCCCTCCCATCCCCACGGCCATCAACCAACTTTCTCAAGCAGCTCGTGAGTGTGTGTGTGTCTGTGTGTGTGTGTGTGTGTGTGTGAGAGAGAGAGAGAGACCGACAGACAGACAGACAGATAGTTAAAGAGAGAGAAGAGAAAGGGGGGGGAGAGAGAGACAGAGACAGAGAGAGGAGAGAGAGAGGAGAGAGACAGAGAGAGAGAGGAGACGGAGACAGAGAGAGAGAGGAGACGGAGACAGAGAGAGGAGAGAGACAG